ATACTATTTACACAAAAGAAATAATTTTGTTAAGGTATCTAAGAATTTTTTTAACTAATTACAGATCTGAAAATAATTTTGTTGAATCAAAATAATCATGTAGAAAACTCAAATGAGCAATGTTGCAATAAGTTTTAACATTCGAGCAATCAGCTTAAAGCTGCCTATATAATTATTATTTTAATAATTCATGAAATTATTTTCAGATATATGTATTTATACTTCTTTATCATTTAGATAAATTTAAATACTTTAGGAAACCGTTCTTTCCATATAGTATTATATTATCTATTTCTGTCTATTCATTATCATGATACGGTCGATATATGTATCTATTATAGTAGATAGCTAAAGTCATTGCTTCAGATTCGACGAACAACGCGAGGATCAACGTTCACGTCGAATCTCACCGCAACATTTCCACCCTTTTTCCCACCGTTTGAACATCGACTTGGACGAGCGAGTCGCTCCGCGTGATCGAGATATTCCACGGTCGAGGCTCCATAATATAGTTTCCGTATTACATAGATTCGCGGATAAACTGATCAAGAGGGAGCCGCATAAGCGAGAGCGGCGATCGAAAAGGCGTGCAACGGTTAACATGGGAAACAAGCATGGTGAATGTCGCTGATGGTCATGGTCGCCGAAGGCGCAGCCGATAGGTACAGGCCCACGAACGTCTGATCTTTTCACCGTGGATACCGATATCGCTGTGCCATCAATAGAAAACCGCCTATGACTTCAACGCGTTCATCTTTGAGAAAGTATAGTCAGCGCTATCCCAATAGCTATCTGAAATATTACTGATATTAGACAGTTAGATTGTATGGAGAACTTCTCGAGGAATGTAAAATGTAAACCAAATCCGTCCTCCTACATCATATTTTACATTGTTTTGCATTGATTTTCTTTTTCATGGAAATACACGTTTATGATTACTGCTATTTTACGTGACTGATGGTGTAACTCCTTACATGTATTACATACAGTAGCTGCCAAAAGTTTCTGACCAGTAAGTAATTTTATTATGTTCAGATAAAGAATCTTATATAAATGAAGATCTAATTTGGAAATATTTAATATAGTAGTTTTTAAAATTCGAATAAGACATTATTGTATCAATTATAAGATAAAACTTAAATATTCGGTCTCTCTTTCGTTTAAAAAGATAAAACTTAAGTAGTGTACGTATCTTATTTGTATTCAAATTTAATTTTCAATTTTTCTATTCTAATTTAAAAGATAGCTGTTTTAATTCTTTAAAAAATCTCAAAGTTGCGTTATTTAGTTAACTCAAGTGATATGTATATTGGTTGAATTAAGTATTTGTATAAAAGAGTTAGTATCAGAAGAGTACTGTCTCAGATGTATAAATAAATAACTGGTGTCAAGTTACAATCTCATATTGCATTACTTTATTCAGTTCAAGTAATGTGTATTAATTAAGTAAGACATGAAACCTAAGTGGTATTATCTTTTATTGAAAAAAAAAAAAAAAAAAAAAACTTAAATGATATAATCTATGTATCTATTTGTACTCTTCCTATTTTAACTTAATTTAATTCTTTAAAATATTATTATTGCACGCAATCGCAACTACAGAGAAAACAGTATAAAATAAAAAAATTTAATTCAAATAAAAGATTTAAATAAAAAAAATTTATGCAAAAATATGTAACGTAGATAGAGATCGAAACACAAAATAACACAAAAAATAATTAAACTTATCACACAAGAATAATAATGAAATAATCAAGCTTGTATGTATAAGCGAGAATTGAAAAGTAGATTCCTGTCGTCTGAAGATTTTAAACTGACATTGTCTCCCTGATTTTAGAACAACCTATACACGTACATAAATTTTAAATCTCCATGTACATCTCACCATTACTTAATGATACAAAAGAGAATGAGATACAAAAAGTTGTCCGCTTGTTGATAAAAAAATGTTATAAAATCATATCTTGGCTGAATACTTTTGGCAGGTATTGTATCTTATACAACATCATTGAAATATGATTACAATAATGGATGAACAGGACTTAATATTACACTAAACTCCTACAAAGCTTTCATGATAGTGACTTCGATCCTAGTGCCAATGCTCGCATTGGCACCTAAATCGTCCCGTATGTCACATATGTCAGGTACACGATCTTGCATAAGCGGATCCCGCTGGAGTGCGTCGCGTTCTCACGGGCTCGCTGAATCTGCCGAGCGAGCGATCGTCCGGTCGTGTCACCGAGCACGATCGTCGATCCCGCGGTTTATATTCGGGCCGGATTGCCGGTCGCTACGCGTTTACGACGTCCGTGAAAAAACAGCCGTAAACGCGGCCGCGCATCGTAAAGGTTGCGGCGCACTCGCGTTCTGGACTATTGGTTTCTGTGTGCCGTGTATGGACGACGAGACAGCGGAGGAAAAAGAATCGCACGGCTTGTACTCGCTGAAAGGATACTTTCTCCGTTCCTCTCTTCCTCGCTGGCGAACGTCGTGCACGACGGATTCCATTCTAGCAATCACCGCGCCTTTCGCACAGTTATATCCTTTTCGTATATACATATACTTGGACCTCGCTTTCGTCAGTTATGTGTGATCTGTGCTTTCAAATACTATATATTTATATATATAATATGTCTGAGAACAGCTGCACAATAGAAGTTACCTTAAAGTCATTGTTTTATTGTATATATTTGATTTATATAGTTTCATTCATTTTTTTCATTTAGACTCTCATATAAAAGAATAAAAATAATAATAAATTAATAAAAACTTTAAAATATATTGACCGATGGGATTTCATGTCACCCATGCATAATGTCGTTACACTTCATTGACGTCCGACAATAGAGAGAGCGGTAAAACCGTCACGAAATCACGACAGAGTTCTTATGACAGTTGCATGAAATAACGGTAGGATGAAGGGGTCTTTCGTGATTCGGTCATCATAGACGCTTTCTACGAAGTATAACGTGGAATATCATCTCGGCGCAGATACATGGTCGCAAAAGCTAAATGATCATCGCACGAACTCGCCGTGTTCGGCTGAAGTGTCGATTGACAGCGAAAAATAGATACATGGACAACCGTGCAAAATAATCTTTTCCTGTACATTCATGAGACAGCAAGATGGTAATGCTTTAAAAAGAAAGATTGCAAACAATTTTTTTAGATATGTATATTTGATGATTTTATAATAGTAAAAATTAAAACAGCGTGCTCAATTTTTTAATAACTTATAATATTTATGTGAATTGCACATGAAAAGAACGAAGTAATTATTTTGCTGAAGTATCTAAAACTTTATTAGATATAGATCTCTCTGAAAATAATTTTATTGAACTATGGAAATAATTAGAAATTTTTAGCACAATGAGCGATGCTGCAAAAAATGCTAGAAGTTTTCTTGTAATCGGTTTAAGGTCCAACATAATTATTTTGATGGATCCAAAAAAATTATCGATTTACATTTAATTAAAATTTTTTAATATTTCAGCAAAAATTCTTTATATATATATAAAGTTATAATAGGTAATTTTAGTAATAATACTATTTCTGCATACGCAGATTGCAAGTTTGTTTTTCAAATTCAAATTTTTTTCACTGACGATCATGATGCTTTTATCGATTAAAATGCGAAAGTTTTATCTGAATTGATCATTGGTACTAATATCAGCATTTTATTAATCTATACTGAACTTCATGGTTGTCATATTCTTCATGAATCGTGAAACGGTAATCTCACAACCGACGCAGTCATCCGCGACTGACCAACGTCAATTGCATGAGTCATTTCCATCGACAAGTCGAGTTCTTTTAGGTACTGACGAACGGATTGATTTAGCACAAAGTCTTACCGAGATCGCGATCAGTTTAAATGGCTTTCGATACGATCGTGAGGATTGAACAGCCACTACGATAATCGTATCTAATACATTGAAAAATTATTGAATTTTGTTTTTCTATTGTATTAAATTCTATTGACTTATCGACGCAGTTAAAAAGATGCTAGAAAAAGCTCACTATGATTTAATAAAATAATTTATGTTTAAAAATAATAGTTACATAAAATATATTAAATAATATATTAATATGTATCGTAAAAAGATAAAAAGCCAATGTGAGCCTGTACAGATTTGTTGGTGTATAAGAATATCATAGATTCAGAGATAAAATAAAATTACAGACGTTTCGACTCTTATTATTGGGTCATCTTCAATGTAGTTTTGAAAAAATTCAATTGTGCAAATTAAAACATATAATGGTCGCTTACTATTTCGTCAATGGATAAAATAAAAAAGTTGTATCTAACTCAAACAATTACATTATCTGCAATATACAATAACATGAAAAATAATAAAAGACTTAAAATAATAATATAATAATTAAAGAACGTGATAAACTTATATATTACATATTGATGGTCAGATAATTTAGAACGTCAACAGACAACTTTTATCTATTGACGAAATAGTAAGCGACTATTATATGTTTTAATTTGCACAATTGAATTTTTTTTAAACCTACATTGAAGATGACCTAATAATAAGGGTCGAAATGTCTGTAATTTATTTTATCTTTGAATATATATTATTCTTACACACCAACAACCTGTGCTGGCTCACATTGGCTTTCTATCTTCCTATGATTTATTCTTTGGAGCCTTCTATCAAGATTGAGTTTTATTAATATGTATGTAAGCAATTTAAGCAGTTTTACAATTATTCTTGTTATTTAGAACTTGTTTATTATATCGCTATCTTTTAAATTGTATAACATAATATTATGCTTTATTTTGAAATTCATTTTAGTCTAAAAAAGTGCAATCTGCACAATTCAATTTGTTAATGCTGACATTATATAAATATCTGCAAAGATTGTTTACATGACTTGATTTAATAAAATTTGAACTTTCTCGTTGTCTAATCTTTTCAGAAAGATCAAAGTTCAAGAATATATATTAAGAGATTTTTCGCATCTCGATATTGCGCTCATTTCATTCCACATAATCCAGCAAGATGAAACACTTCGGATTATTGTGTATAGTTCTCATCTTGGTTCATTTTAGTACACAAATTCCACAATTTGGTACGTATTATAATTTTACATTTATTATAATTTTATTAATTATGTATACTATTATATATTTATCTTTATTACATAATGTGTCCTTTAATAAAAAAGATTTTTTTAAAAATTGATTACAATGTAGAATTTATATATTATTATATAATATGTAATATAGTATAAAATACACAGATAAAAAATTTCATCATATCATAAGGAAATTATAAATGGATATAATTTCTTTATTAATATTAAAATAAAATTCCTTTTCTATTTATTCCAGTTATTCATTTTAATTTTTAAAGATTTTTTACACAACTGTACTTTGTATAGAAATATTAGGTTATCCGGAAAGTTCGTGCCGATGTTGAAGGAAAATTGAAACGCAGAAAATTTAAATTTTAGTATACATTTATTAAATTATATAAGTTAGTCGGCACGAACTTTCCGGACAACCCAATAACTATCAGAATAATTAATTTTAAATTTAACCTCAGAGTAACAAAATGATTTATTTAATAATAAATCAGTAATTTAATCATCAATAATGAAATAAAAAAATCAGGAATATAATCATGGTAGTGATAAAAGCAAGCTAGATAGATTTATAAAAATCAAATATTTTACAAACGTGTCATTTATTTATAAAATATAAGCTACATTTCAAATATAAATTCTTAAAAATTTTTGTAAGTGTATCTCAAATGAAATTATTAAACTGTTATAATGTTATCATTTTACATAGTTTACATAAAATGGAAAAATATAACTTTCGGTTATAGGCCGGCGGGCTGCTGGAAATTTATTGGCAGTTATTGCGTGTCACTAACTTATATATTATAATTCAAATATATAAATGTTCATTCAAATACATAAATTAGATATATGTTTTTTCCTGTCTAAGAAGAGAGATCTTATATTTTTATAATTAATTATATTATTATTGTAATTAATCGAGAACATTTTTATATTTGCTTTATAGAAAACAATATTATTTATTAGTATTTATTAGTTGATATAATCGATTTATATTCTATAATTATTCAAGTCAGACGGAATTTATAATTATGTTTTTAATATTTTTAGAGAACTGTCCTGAAAATGTTATGCAGTCATTTAATAGCTGCGAATGTTGTAAAATAGAATGTTTCTCAGAAGGGACAGACATTAGAATGGTAGTACTTGCGTAAGTAAGCAATTTGTGAAGTACAGTGCTCTTCAGATATCAAATGTTAATTTTCTATTAATTTTAGATGTCCCTTGTCTTTCATTCTGTGTCCGCCAGGAACACACATAGATAATCATGAAGATAACACAAAAATATATCCAGATTGTTGCGGACATACCATTTGCAAAGAGAAAAATAAAAATGACAGAATAAAAAGAATAAAATGAAGAATAAAAATGCAAGTTGCATACATTACTGCATAATTAAAAAATAATATGCAGAAATATTGTGAAAATGTACAATAATTTCTGATAATCTGATCTTTATTTCTTTACTCAGTTAATTTGATATGAGTAGTATACAAATTTTTTTCGTAAACTTGATAAAAGCAATACATCTATATCTATATGTATATGTATTAATAAACAAGCATTGAGAAAAAAATATTTTAATAGTAAGAATAAAAAACATCATGTGTGTGTAATTTTAAAATCTTAATTTTTTACTTGGGTTTTGAGAAATAAAAATTCATTATTTCTTATAACAATTGCAGTTGTGTTGAATTCATACTATTTTTCTTCCGAGTGATGCCTTTTCAATAGAAAGGGATTTCAATTGTCAGTTTGTTTCGGGGAAAAAGTGACGATTTTATTGCGACTTTATCTTTGATCTCTGAGACATTTCTTAATGGACTAATTAGCGGCATCTCACGATAAACCGACGCGATAGGATGTGGAAACGAGAGGAGGACACGACGAGAAGCAAGGAGACGCCTCTCTAGTGTCATTTATTTATAAAATATAAGCTACATTTCAAATATAAATTCTTAACAATTTTTGTAAGTGTGTCTTAAATGAAACTGTTAAACTGTTACATATAATGTTACTATTTTGATAGTTTACATAAAATGGAAAAATATAACTTTCGGCTATAAGCCGGCGGGCTGCTGATAATTAATTGGCAGGTTGCGTGTCACTAACTTATATATCATAATTCAAATACATAAATGTTAAATATATATGTTTCTCCTGTCTAAGAAGAGAGATCTTATATTTTTATAATTAATTATATTATTATTGTAATTAATCGAGAACATTTTTATATTTGATTTATATTCTATAATTATTCAAGTCATACGAAATTTATAATTATGTTTTTAATATTTTTAGGAAGCTGTCCTGAAAATGTTGTGGAGACATTTAATAGCTACAAATGTTGTAGTAAGAATGATTCTCAGAATAGAAACGTTATAATAGATTGTCTCTCAGAAGGGACAGAGATTAGCACGCTAATACTTGCGTAAGTAAGCAATTTATGAAGTACAGTGCTCTTCAGAAATCAGATGTTAATTTTCTATTAATTTTAGATGTCGCCCATCTTACATTCTCTGGCGGCCAGGAATATCATTAAGATAACACAAAAGTATATCCAGATTGTTACGGACATACCATTTGCAAAGAGAAATAAAAATATAAGTTGTATACATTACTGCATAATTAAAAAATAATATGCAGAAATATCGTGAAAATGTACAATTTTCTGATAATCTGATCTTATTTCTTTAATCAGTTAATTTGATATGAGTAGTATACAAATGAGATTTTTTTCATAAACTTGATAAAAGCAATACATCTATATCTATATGTATATGTCTATATATTAATAAACAAGTATTGAGAAAAAAAATTCTGCGCGAGTTAGAAATTTCATGGAGTTTCATCCCGCCTAATGCACTCCATTTTGGTTTATGGGAGGTAGCTGTAAAATCTGCCAAATACCACATGACTCGGATCGTGGGCAAGATTCATTTGACCTTCGAGGAAATGCAAACGACCCTCTGTGAAATTGAGGCGATCCTCAATTCGCGTCCCTTCTTACCATTAAGCGCCGACCCTAACGACCTAGCGTACCTAAGTCCGCGACATTTCTTGGTTGGCATGATTTTGAATGGTCTTCCTTGTGTTGACTTGAGCGATGTCAACGAAAATAGACTGCTACGGTGGCAACGCGTAGAGCAAATCCGGCAGCATTTTTGGCGCAGGTGCAGTAATGAATATCTTCATTCTCTACAAGCCCGAACCAAATGGATGGTTAACAAGGGAACTCAGCTGTCAATTAATCAATTTGTGCTCATAAGGCAGCCGAAGCTTCAGTGGCCAACGGGTCCAGGAGGTTCATCCTGGTCCCGACGGCATCGCACGCACCGCAACTGTCAAGACTGTCAAGAGTTCCTATGTGAGGCCACTGTCTAAACTATCAATATTATCAATTGAAGCCTAGTCTATGCGTTATCAAACATTTAAGTTTAAGTGTCTTTAGCTGTTACCTTCTAATTATATCGTATCTCACGCAAGCTTCTCTTTATCTTCAAATAAGAATGACTTATTTGAATTATGGACCGTTTATTTTGAAAATGGTGCAAGTCCGTTTTCCTTTGTTTCGAGAAACTTAAAGCATATCTCAGTCAATTAAAAAATATAGGTTAATTATGTCAAGTCTGGCAATGTTTCTATTAATTTATCAATATGTAATTTGATTATATAAATTTGTTTTAGGCAAAGTTAACTAAAATAATTATTTTTTTTATATTTACGGGCTGCAAATGGACTTACTCTCATAATTAGTCAATTGTAAAAAATCATTTAATTTCTGTTATGAAAAATTAAATATCACTTAAAATATATTTCGTATTAATTCAATTTTGTTTATAAATAATAAAAATAATAAAATAGGAGTAGTATTTTTTATTTTGAACGTTAATTATATTGATAAACATATTGTTAAACATAAGATATAGATATTATTTATTTATGTTCTTCATGTGGCAGTGTTTTAAAATACTCATGATGCACAGGAGGTATATAAGGTAATAACTGCTCCATATCCTTATATTTTTATATATAATATAACAGGCCTGGCATCGTGATACAAAGGCGCCAGGGTGATTTTTTTCAAATTTTGGCGGTCTTCCCCGTAGATGATAACGGAGGTGATAAATTTAAACTCTTAAATTCTGTGTCCTCCATTGATGTTTTATATAAAATAGTATATGGTGCACTTTTGCAAAACCTCAACATATTTTCAGCCAATTTACTTGTTCTCCATTAGTGTTTCTTCTTACGTGTTTTTTAATTGCGTTTTGTAAATTTTTTGAAAACGAAATTCTCTCGTTTCATTTCGTGTAAAATAAATTTATTATATTGTTTAGATTGTTTTATAACATCACAATAATCCTGTGGTACAGGAAATTCTTTTTTAATGCCATTTCTATCAAAATCTGCATCGTTTGGAAGATACGAAAGCCTAAAAATTTATGATCAATTACTTCAATGTTATTTTTCAAAGACTAGACAACCCACCATCAATTTGTAAATTTCGATTTTACCCAGTACACATATCACTATATGCAATAACATGACTTTGTGTCGTTACATTTTGTAAATGTCTCGAACAGCAAGAAGCTATTTCCTGTGATCCCCTGGAAGCAGTAGTTTCGTCTCACACGTACATATTAACTTTATTGTCGTGGAAATTATGAAATCCCTCGTTTAAAACATTATATACATATTTCGCTTATAATGCGATTGAAACAGATAATTTTGGATAGAGTAAGGCTTTTTGTAAATCGAAAGAAAAGGCAAAATATTTTTTGATACCAGAATTTTATCTTCTTGTAATGCTTTTCTTGCTAATTCAGCATTTTTCAAGTGAACATCATGACTTTGTACAAGAGTCGTTTTTTCTTCGTTATCAGTTGTTGTCTGAATTTTTATGTCCAAGAAATCGCATCTTGCACAGATATCTTTACGTGACAAATAGAAATGTAATTTGAAATCTCGTTTAAAGATTTTCCTGTATGTCCATTCATTAACTGAACTTAAGTTATTTTCCTTACATTTTTTAAGTACAAATTAAACATTTTTCTTATGTTTAATTCAGGATTCAGAAACATTCGTTCTGGATTTTGGGATCGAGTATAATGACTTTCAAATGCCGGAAAATTTTTTATGTGTTCTATCACTATATTCGTCAGTAGTTCACTAGTTCTTCTGCAAGAGCCATCTTTTTATCCAAGCATGTCTTTCGGAATATTATCATGCGCTTTTAAGACACGATCAATTCGTCCAGTAGATATATTGAAAGTATTAATGAAAAACTTCTTACATACTAAAATGTTTCCACGAGAAGTGACCAAGTGAAATTTATAAGCATAAGTCCTCAAAGTGCCCGAACAATTTCTTGGCCTTCTTCTATTTATAGTTTTACGTTCAACATTACAATAGAGAAATACGTTTTGCTTATTAAAATCACCTATATTCCAGAATTGATCAAAAATTGCTTTACGTTCTGATTCGTTAACACGTTCTATATTTCTTCGAACAGTTACAATTTTTAGATTCAAATTTTTTTGCTGGAATGAATTTTCCTTTCTTTGTATAATACTCTTATTCGGCATTTCGCTTAATTTTGTTTATTCGTTGTGTATATTTTCCTTTATTTTCTTTTGCAGAATCGAAGTTCTCAGTAACAACATCCTCATCTGATGAAGATTCTATTTTTATAATTCTTCTTCTCTTTTTATGTCTCATTAATTTGTTTTTCATAGTGGAATTATCATCCTCCGAGTCTAAGATTATTCTTTTGTTTATATTCATGGGTTTTATTTCTGTGTGAATTTATTTAAAATAAAATAAAATAAATATTTTCAATTGTCATAAAATAATATTGATTTACTATTTCTTCTTACCTATATCACTAGTTGATGTTAATATGAAATTATCCATTTTTGAAGGAAAATAAAATAAGTAATAACTTTCGAAACATGAAATAAAACAAATGTAGCCACCAGTAGCCACTGATCCCGCCACCTGTCTATGGAAATTGGACTTACACCACTTTCATAATCAATACACCAATTTCATAATCATACGCAATTCTTATACCGGCCAATTTTAAATTGAACAAAGCATTGGCATTTTTTAAGATATTAAATATTAACTCGTTATAAATAAAAAGTTTACACTGAGTTAAGGATAAATTACGTTATATCTCATTTTTTTTTAAAATGGACTTACCACTTTCAAAATAAACGGTCCATATTGTTTTTCACTTATTATATTGCTTGCGTACTAAGATGTTAATCCTTGTTGATTTTCAGTGCAATGACTAAATATGATATTAAATCGCATTAGAGCAATTCGCGTTTATGTTACGCTAACGAACTCATGCTTGTATGTCACATTGAAAGTCAACTCTTTCAAGGCGGGCGGCATGTTCGGTACCCCTATCGTTTACGGCGTCTAGTCATATCGTCTAATTTCATCGATAAAGAATCGATCAATCCGCTAAGAAGATGTCGATTGTTAAGCTACGCATGCGTCATGCGTAATCAATTAAAAAACTATCAGATCATTATGGCCGCTACTGTCTCGTCGACCGCACGCGTCTCGCCTCGTGGACAAGGACTATCGCTAAGATCCTTTCCACATCCATTGTAAAACACGTTCGCCCGCGTTTGAGGTCTATTCAATAAAAATTTGGAAAGCA